CGCATCAAAACATGGGCTGTGTACTCGCAGGCCGATGACCTCGGAGTACGCTGATCACTGTGTCAGATTAATGAGACTGATTAAAGTATGATTTGTTGCAAATTAGGTGTGCCGGAGTCGGAGTGTGAGACTGTCGGATTAACTGGTCTAAATAGCACTGATATTATCGGTTCCTGTTATTAGTGCCGGACAAAGCTGAATGTCGGAATAACGAGACTTGACTGTATGTGTTTACATGTGTTCTGATTGTCAGAGTGTACTACAAGATGTGCTGCTCGCAGGAAACATCCTGAGCTGGAGTGAGTGAGTGAGTGAGTTTGGTTTTACGCCGCTTTGAGCAATATTCCAGCAATATCACGGCGGGGGACACCAGAAATGGGCTTCACACATTGTACCCATGTCGGGAATCGAACCTGGGTCTTCGGCGTGACGAGCGAACGCTTTAACCACTAGGCTACCCGACCACCCCTCCTGAGCTGGAGCTCACGTATGTGTGTGAGCTGGAAACTCTGCTCTGACTTTGTCGCGTTTGTATTGTCAGAGCAGGTGTACCGCTCATTGTGTATTTGTTGTTTATATGTTGAGTTTTAATCGTGCTGGGACAGTGATGCCGATGTTGTTCTTGTTTCCCCCAAGAGCCAATCCCTCCCGCATTAACATACGTGCCGACACTACCCGGTGGTGTCAAAGAAGTTTGAATGAATGTACGACTTGTCTTGCTTTCATGTTCAAATTGCACCATGCAGCCGTTATGAAATCTGATCGGATGTGTTTGCACTGTGCATGCTGTGTATCTTAATGGGGTTTGTCAACAGACCAATGAAACTGAAAAAATATTAATTGAATTTGGTTTCAGGTTTTGGAGTTCAAAGTCCACATCATTGCACAAAAATAGTTGTTTTTCTTGTCACATATGTCATCACAGTCCATGTTGAATATATGTTCAACACAAACTAATTTTAGTATGTGAAGTTTAAACGACATGCCGCTTCATTTCTGGACAAGAGGTCGGTCACACGACCCCAAAGAGTGATAGGTTCAACGAAGAATTGACTTTCACTTTGTGTGAGTTCATTGGAGTATGAACCTTCATAGAGTGAGGGCCAAACAGTGTATGAACATGTTTTCACTGACAGCCATACAAAAACCGCCTGTATCGCGGAATAAAATAATTCCTCAAATCGAGAGGTAAGTATGTTTGTATGCTGAACCTGCTCTTCGGGAACATCTGTTGTAGCATGTTTACAACACATATATTCAAATATATCATCACTGGATGACAAAGCTGTGCTATGAGTTACCTCAGTAAGTCAGTCAGAATGACAGCGTGTCGTGTTACATTTACTAAACATGCTAAATGAAATTATGTAATAAATCTCTTTTAGGCTTATCACAGTGATGTGAAATAATAAAAGAGCTGACTTTCTCTTTGTGGGAGTTCAATGAAGTATGAACTTTCATTATGACACACTTCAGTGAACTCACACCAAGTGCTTAACATGCTTAAGACACATTGTTTATATATATATATATATATATATATATATATATATATATATATATATATATATATATTCATACAACTGCTGATATTGTGTATCATGCACTGATATAAAGAAGATGCTGGACTAACGTGGACTTCTTTTCATCATTTCTTACTATTTGATGTTGTGTATCATGACGACGGTCTGCAAATAATCGAGTCTGGTCCAGACAATCCAGTGATTGACATCATGAGCATCGTTCCACACAATTGGAATACGATGACATGCACCTACCAAGTCAGTGAGTGACCACCCGATCCCGTTAGTTGCCTCTTACCACAAGCACAGTTGCCTTTTACGGCAAGCATGGGTTGCTGAAGAACTATTTTACCCTAGAACTTCACAAAACTGTATCCTGATACAAATCGTATGGCAAGACACCAAGCAATACTCAGCTCTTCTTGCCATCCTTGAGCAGTCATACCACAAGCTTGCTCCAAGTGCGTGTGCGTAAATCTGCCCCATTGCCTTGAGTAAGTGAGTGAGTAAGGTTTTACGCCGCTTTTAGCAATATTCCAGCAATATCATACCAGGGGACACCAGAAATGGGCTTCACACATTGTACCCATGTTAGGAATCGAACCCGGGTCTCTGGCGTGACGAGCGAACGCTTTAACCACTAGGCTACATATTGACAGTTTCTCCTTTGAAACCCTCCGTAGGTGAAATTCCACTAATTTGTCTGGGATGTCATCAGTCAATATTACCGTTGAATGTAATGGGTGAAATGCACAAATGTTTACCACTTTGTAATGTGAATCACGATACAGTTGTTTCCCTTGATTTTAACCTAAAATAGCATTACAAAAGTCAAACTGCATTTTCAGTGCCTATTTTTATCTGGTACAGCTCACCCTGGGAACCTGTTTTTAAATTAATGTCCTGGATCCCAAATGTTGATTACCGAGAATCTCCAGGACTGACAGGTACACAGATCCAGATCCAGGTGACTCAGTTGCTTAATCTGGAGCTCAGGTAGCTTCCTGTTTAGTTTCACCTACACTCATGTAATTAGCTCCAATGAAGGAACAGGGCTGAAGTTGAGCCATTTATACTGAACCAACTGACAGTTCGGCGAGGTGAAAGGGGGTTTGACGTCATGTCCAAGATTACTGCACTTATATAGCGACATGCATGCACACGTGTGTGTGTCTGGTTGTACTAGTCCGGACTGATGCCAATTTATAGTGCTAGCCCACTGATATACCATGCCACAGTTTACACAAATGTAGAGAATGGACGTAGAAAAAAAATACTGTGTCCTAAGGGTGAGTGACAGTTTTCCAGTTATATCACGGCATGTCAGCTTACTGTGGGAGGAAAGCCCGAAGTGATGCAGGTCTTAAACGTTTACTACTTCGGTGAAACCCACGAGCACGGGTACGGTACAAACCTAGAAACATAATTGGGGTGAGCCAGGGTTCGAACCCACAATCATAGGTTTCTGGCATGCCCAAGGGACACAACTCTGCACAGCGAATCGCAGCGCTTCAGACAACTGGGCCACCCATGCCCCTACGTCCCCAGGGACGCACAATAATATTCATTGTGCCTAAAATGCAACAAGACCAGATATGGGTGTCTGTTATTTCTTCCACATGATCATTGATTTATTCCAGACTCTAAAGTAATTATCTAAACATACAGTACACTGCACCACTTCATTACCATACAGGTTGGTTGCTTTGTTGTTTAACGCCGCACTCAGCAATATTCCAGCTATATGACGGTGGTCTGTAAATAATCGAATCTGGACCAGACAATCCAGTGATTAATATCATGAGCATCGATCCACGCAATTGGGATCGATAACATGCATCAACGAAGTTGGCAAGCCTGACCACCCGATTCTCTTAGTCGCATTTTACAACAAGCATAGTCGCCTTTTACGGCAAGCATTAGTTGCTGAAGACCTATTCTACCCCGGAATCTTCACGGGTCCTACCTTACAGGACCCTCATGTTGCCTGTAAAAGTAATTGTTGGGAGTCCCCTGGACCCCCACTTTCTTAAGTCCAGGTTAAACCCCGATATACTCTTCAAAACATAATATGAACTGGAATAATCTTATCTATGAAGGATCCAAACAAATGTCACGAGACTCGCACATCGAACTAGTGGCGGAAGTCACGGAGTGACCACAGTGTCTCTACAAAAATGACAAAGGGAAAACTGGCATGTATGGCAGGTATACATACTGTATATAGGTAACATACTGGCAGGTATGTTAGAATACTTAGCTTTCACTATGGCAGCAGCACACGTATTCATGGTGTAAATGTCTTACTGATTGACTGCCTCTGAGTGAGTGAGTTTGATTTTACGGTGCTTTTAGCAATATTCCAGCAATATCACGATGGGGGACACCAGAAATGGGCTTCACACATTGTACATGTCGGGAATCGAACCTGGGTCTTCGGTTTGATGAGCGAACACTTTAACCACTGGGCTACCCGACCGCCCCTGACTGCCACTGAACATCTGACAGTGAATCACAATGTACATGTTTTATAAGTAATAAGGCTGAAAAATGCCCATGATATGATACCAGTCGAGTTAATTACCTGATAGAGTTCAGCCATTTACTGTTTCAATATTTGAATATATTATACCATGTATAACACAGTCTAATTACCATAACCATTATTGACAGTATGTGACGTTAGCCGCAAGTCTATAGCATGAATCTTGTACAATTTTTTATAGGCTACTGAAAATGACGTCAAATGACATGCGTGTAGTTTGTACTTATATCATTGGAGATCAACAAATTCAAATTTAAACGAAGATTGTTGACATTGTTCTACATTATCTGGAATGTATCATGAGGCATCCCTAATGAAACATGCTAAATTTGCCTAACAGAAATCATTATCATGATATACTACCATACTTCATATTAAAATTTAGTTACATTAGTTGTCTTCAAAACATAAGGATTACTTCTCCTTGACTAAACAACCCAAATGTTTATCCATAAAAACATCGCAGATGTTCTGGGTATGAAAGGAATAAAATTCTTGCCCCCAAGAATGCATTTGTGTTGTTTCAAGTCAGTATCCCAGAAAGATGTCAGGTATTTGTTAAACTGATATAGCTGCGACATTATTTATGAATTAAGGTCTTGAAAAAGTAGTTAATATTAAATGTCATCCATCTCTGAAGAAACCTTGACCAGTGGTGACGTGATTTTCTGGGCTCAAAAGAAGTGATTTAAGCCTGATTACTGGCCAGCTGATTCTAAAACCAAGAATGTTACTGTGGCAGCTTCACCATGAATCATGTTTATACAAATGGCATCGCAATTATTTTATATATACACCAATCATCACGTCTAAAAATAGGATTACACGTTGACTGACAACTCCATAAAATTACTCAGATGATGATTTTGGTTCTATAACAACAACAATGTGAACGAAAACCGAACAATATTATGCATTTTCATAAACAATACCTTGGCCGCTGTCTGATCGATAGCGCTCTGGTAATAAAACGATGTCACAGATCTTGAACGTTCTCGATCCTGATATTCCGTTTTAAACACTTCGTCTGAAAACAGTCTGACCATTCCAGCTGATAAAACATCCGTGCGCCTTGACCCTAAAGGCAAGACATCTTGGAATCGCGAGAGCCTTTGCATCATGCCAGATGAAGTGGAACGCACCAAATCGATAGTTTGGACTAGGAATGATACAAATCCAGACAAAAAGAATCTCTATAGCCAGTCACTACTTGCATATCATGAACTGAGGTCATCCCTTGTAGTCTCTTGTGGCGATAGACAGAGTATATTCGTAAAAACATGGGTCCAACTTGACCCATACTTCTCCGACGACTGGATGCTGGGTGTGTTTTGTATGTCTGACTGTCAGCACGCGGCCTCGTGCTCTCCTCGGTCACGTGATACAGGTCATGTCCTCGTAGGTTAACACTTGCGTCATAACGAAAACAAGTGAAAGTCGATCGTTCTTTTGAGCAGTATTTAAGTATTTTATGCAAATCGGGAGATTTTAAATATATAATGAATTACTATTACTAATGTCAGTGGAAAAGACACATAGGCCTATATCTTAATCAATGTTTTCCCCTAATAATATAAAATAATAGCTTTATGAAAAACAATTATTTTAACATTCACATACGAATCGAATAATATTTCTTGATAAGTATCTTTTTTTCTCAATCTCGAAACATTTTTTCTATATTTACCGTATTAACAAATCTAAGCGAAGACAGCGTCATACCGCATTTCCTTTACTAAGAGTGCGTTCCTTTCATTAATATAAGCGTAGCCATCGACCGCTCATTGCAAGCTTTGCGTTATACCAAATCGAGGCTTAAATTAGCGTAGCATTAATTTTTGAGTGTTACGAACCCGTGGGTCTAGCCGTTAGTCTTTGTTTCGCGTCATACGTTCGATAGGAATACTGTGGTAGTAGTTATAACACTGGTTACGTGTGTAAAAAGAGAATTCCACTGTGCCTTATTGAGGTCACGTGTTAATTTAGGTCTTCCAGTCTTTGGTGTCGCTCGATGGCTTCCTTTAGCTGTACGTGTCATTCTAAAACCTTGGATCATATAAGAGAAGGGTTGGCTCGTTTGTAAGTTCAGGAATCTTCATGTGATTCAAATGTGAAGGGGGAAACTCTTATCTGTATAGCTGACCCGCGGGGCCCGTTTGCACAAAGCGATCTTAGCTCTAAATCGATCGTAACTCCTATACTTGAACATAGACTTAAGCCATTCCCAGCGCTAAGATCACTTTGTGCATCGGAGCCCTTTTAATTAGAGGAACGGGTCTTATTTCCACACATTACCCGACACCAGGCTCTAAACACAGTAAATACGGTACTGTTCAGTCGGCGTACTGCACGCCAACGCCTGTCAAACATGTGACCCGCAGCCCGCTCACGCCATGCGCGCACGCATCGGTGCAGTCTTCAAATATACTGAATAAACTGTGTCCGTTGAAGGGAAGATTTGGTGACAAGGGATCGGTTTCACAAAGCCACATTATAACTGTGTGTCACCCGCTCTGCGACTGTTGTAAAGCTTATGTTTCCTAATTTGTTGTTTAGTTTGTAATTTACGCCGCACTCGGCAATATTCCAGCTATATGACAGCGGTCTGTAAATAACCGAGTCTGGACCAGACAATCCAGTGATTGATATCACGAGCATCGATCCACTTAATTGAGATACGATGACATGCATCAACCAAGTCAGCGAGCCTGACCAACCGATCCCGTTAGTCGCCTCTTACGACAATCATAGTCGCCTTTTACGGCAAGCATGGGTTGCTGAGACCTATTCTTACACCTGCAGGCTGAAGGAACAACAGAAGGCTCCACTTAATGGAGTAACTTTTTCATTTACCACAGACTATTTTTATTAAATTTGCAATCTTCACGGGTCCATAGTGGTAGTAAAAGTTTCTAGACATTATCATCACATCCTACCGGGTACCCATTCACTACTTGGTGAACAGAGGCAGTTGCCCTAAGTGACACTGAATGTGCTACATGTGCTTATGTACTTGTTTAAAAGAACATGTCTGCATCCTATGGCGAGTTACTACGCTAATATGTGTGGATAAACATAAAATACCTGGATAATTTAATATTAACGCGTGTTTGGTCAATGTAATATTTAAGTAATAGCTATAAATAGGACGCACTGAAATTGAATGGATGTAATTATACTCATTATAATATATGTGTACTGAACCGATATAATTACGTCCGAGTGAATGAGTTTTCAAGTATACACATAATTGGTTTATTTGATGAACAAACCATGTTTTAACAATCATAACATAACAGCGTCCAATCATCATTGTTTTAGATAGCGGCCTATATTTTACAAACGCTTCATACAATATCATTGAAATAAGCAGCCCCGTATCGAACCGAAACAGACCACGTTACGTGTGTCATACGTCGTCACGGTCATATAGCTTGATTGACCGTCACCCGTTTGGTGATGCTATGATGTAGGAGGCTCACATATATGTATACCAGAGGTGAGAAATGTATCGACATATGTTAGTCATCACAAAGCAGCGGTTGTGAGAAACGCCTCACACGAGTACTCAATGACCGCATTCCCCAGAAGCGCAGACATCGCCCCCAGCAACACAACGCGTTTTGTGGTGTTCTACTGTGGTGTTGTTCTGCTGTTGTGTTGTTCTACTGTTGTGTTGTTCTACTGTTGTGTTGTTCTACTATTGTGTTGTTCTACTGTTGTGCTCTACTATTGTGTTTTTTCTACTGTTGTGTTGTTCTACTGTTGTAGTGTTCTACTGTTGTGGGCCGCCTCCGTGGTCTTGTGGTAGAGCGTCCGCCCGGAGAGTGGAAGGTCCGGGGTTCGATCCCCGGCCGCGTCATACCAAAAGACGTTAAAAGATGGTACTTGTTGTTACCCTGTCTGGCGCTCAACATTAAGGTGCTAAAACAAGGACTGGGGCTAAAACAAGGACTGGTCGGCTCGGAGTCAGTATACTGTGTCTGAGTGGGGTATTCATGTTAAACTGCGGCATGGTATCCCAGTGAGCTAGCACTATAAATCGGCATCAGTCCGGACTAGAACAAGCAGCCACACACACACATACACGTGCATGCACGTCGCTATATAAGTGCAATAATCTTGGACGCGACGTAAAACCCAATTTCACCTCACCCATCTACTGTTGTGTTGTTCTAATGTTGTGTTGTTATACTGTGGTGCTGTTCTACAGTAGTGTTGTTCTACTGCGGTGTTGTTCTACTGTTGTGTTGTTCTACTGTAGTGTTGTTTTACTATAGTGTTGTTCTACTGTAGTGTTGTTTTACTATAGTGTTGTTCTACTGTAGTGTTGTTTTACTATAGTGTTGTTTTACTGTAGTGTTGTTTTACTATAGTGGTGTTCTACTGTAGTGTTGTTTTACTATAGTGGTGTTCTACTGTAGTGTTGTTTTACTTTAGTGTTGTTCTACTGTTGTGTTGTTCTACTGTAATGTTATTTTACGATAGTGTTGTTCTACTGTAGTGTTATTTTACTATAGTGTTGTTCTACTGTAGTGTTGTTTTACTATAGTGTTGTTCTACTGTAGTGCTGTTTTACTATAGTGTTGTTCTACTGTAGTGTTGTTTTACTATAGTGGTGTTCTACTGTAGTGTTGTTTTACTATAGTGGTGTTCTACTGTAGTGTTGTTTTACTTTAGTGTTGTTCTACTGTAGTGTTATTTTACTATAGTGGTGTTCTACTGTAGTGTTGTTTTACTATAGTGTTGTTCTACTGTAGTGTTGTTTTACTATAGTGGTGTTCTACTGTAGTGTTGTTTTACTATAGTGTTGTTCTACTGTGGTGTTAATCTGCTGTCGTGTTATTTTACTGTAGTGTTGTTCAACTGTAAGGGCGGTCAGGTAGCCTAGTGGTGAAAGCGTTCGCTCGTCACGCCGAAGACCCGGGTTCGATTCCCGACATGGGTACAATTTGTGAAGCCCATTTCTGATGTCTCCCACCGTGATATTTCTGGAATATTGCTAAAAGCGGCGTAAAACCGTACTCACTCACTCACTGTCCAAATGTAGTGCTGTCTACTGTAGTGTTATTTTACTATAGTGTTGTTCTACTGTGGTGTTGTTCTCCTGTCGTGTTGTTCTACTGTGGTGTTGCTCTGCTGTAGTGTAGTTTTACTATGGCGTTGTTCTACCGAAGTGTTGTTCTACTGTAGTGTAGTTTTTCCTATAGTGTTATTCTATTCCACTGCAGTGTTGTTTTACTATAGTATTATTCTACTGTGGTGTTGTTCTACTGTAGTGTTATTTTACTACAGTGTTGTTCTACTGTATTGTTGTTTTACTATAGTGTTGGTCTACTGTAGTGTTATTTTACTATAGTGTTGTTCTACTGTAGTGTTATTTTACTGTGGTGTTGTTCTACTGTAGTGATGTTCTATTGTGGTGGTGTTCTACTGTGGTGTTTTCTATTGTAGTGTTGTTTTACTGTATTGTTGTTCTGCTGTGGGGTTGTTCTACTGTAGTGTTATTTTACTATAGTGTTGTTCTACTGTAGTGTTATTTTACTGTGGTGTTGTTCTACTGTAGTGATGTTCTATTGTGGTGGTGTTCTACTGTGGTGTTTTCTATTGTAGTGTTGTTTTACTGTATTGTTGTTCTGCTGTGGTGTTGTTCTATTGTAGTGTTGTTTTACTACAGTGTTGTTTTACTACAGTGTTGTTCTACTGTAATGTTGTTCTATGGTCTAGTTGTTCTACTGCAGTGCTCTTTTACTTTAGTGTTGTTTTACGGTAGTGTTGTTCTACGGAAGTGTTGTTCTACGGAAGTGTTTTCTACTGTAGTGTTGTTCTACGGTAGTCCTGTTCTACGGTAGTGTTTGTTCTACGGTAGTGTTGTTTACTGTCTGTAGGTTAGTACCATTGCAAACATAAATCAAATGAAGATTTCCTGATGCAAACATATATCAAATATTCGTGGTTTATAGTATATGTTGACATTATGGTCCCTGTGAGAATGCACTCATGTGTATCTAGTCACAATGAGGTGTCATGTCACTTTGCTTGACAATGCGGTAACATATATCATTCTCTGACAAAAATACCAATATGTTTTCTGTGACAATGCGGTAATATTTCTCCTTTAGTGACAGTGCGGTAACGTGTATCCTCTGTCAATGCGGTGATATTTCTCCTTTAGTGACAATGCTGTTATACATCTCCTTCAGTGACAATGCAGTGGCGTGAATCCTCTGACAATGCGGTAATATTTCTCCTTCAGTGACAATGCGGTAAAGTGTATCCTCTGTCAATGCGATAATATTTCTCCTTCAGTGACAATGCGGTAACGTATATCCTCTGTCAATGTGGTAATATTTCTCCTTCAGTGACAATGCGGTAAAGT